TATTATTATTTATTATTATACCATTATATAGAACTCCTACAGCTTTAATATTTTGATAAGGTATACTAAAATTCCAAAACATAGCATAGTCCTTCAAGAGTCTCAAACTGAATAAAGCAGTCTCATTGAAGTAAAGAACTTTCATTTCATTATAAGCATTTTCAAATTATCCTCACGACTCATTATAAAATTACAATAAATTCCCACACTTAATGCCTCCCCTAAAGAGTTGTCATATTTCTGTTACCCTTCTGAAATCAATGCCAAGTTGAAATTGCCTTAAACAATTTAAATCGCTTTGACTGGTCACAGTTTAGCCACGCCTGTCATGCCCATGTCAGGGCAGTTGGTTCACATAAGATTAGCTCGTGCTGTGTGGCAAGGGGGGCAAGAGGGTTTACAAATAAATTCTAATGCTCAAACATAAATTATACAAAGTGGGCAGAGAGACAGAGAGAAGGAGTTTCAGTTGTGCGCTCACGTAATGCATTGGTCCCCAGTCCGGGCCATGACTCCAACTCCGACTACGGCTCGAGCGTCACATGTGTGTCTAAGTGATTTTCAATAAGTTGGCAACAGTTCGAGTTTGGGGCGCGGGGGTCGAAAGTTTTTGGGGCACGATTTTTCACAGCTACAGATGTCTATATACATATATATATATTCGTGCGGCAGGCCATACGCAGAAAGTGGCATAATTTATGGCCCCAGCCAGTGGGCGGGGCAGGGAGTGGGCGCTGGTGATGGTGCGTGTGTGTGGGTGTCGATTCTAGCGAATTTTCGCAAGCGTCAATAATGACGAGCGATTTCTCACAGCGAATGGCTGGCGCTCATTTCGCCCAAGCACCAGCCATTTGCAGCAGCTGCGACCTTTGATATCCGCTGCCAAATTCCCACACAGCGGCGTTGCGATGCCACGTCCAAGTCCAGCTACTGCTCCCGCTTCTATTCCTATTGCTTTTGCTGTTATTCCTATTCCTATTCCTATTCCTGTTTCTGTCACGTAAAAACAAACTTGATTCTCGGCCATCAAAAACGCCATCAGTCTTCCCGATGTCTGACAAATGTTTTCTTTGACTTGCCCCGCCCAGCGGCCGCCTTTGCGCCCGTCACTGCGAATTGGCGACGTGCTCGCTAGATTTTCATTTCGCCTCATATTTTTCGCTCAAATTATTTTTTAATCACAGCTCAGATGTCACTTCAGACAAGTTTCTCGCTCTCTCTCTCTCTCTCTCTCTATCTCTCTCTCTCTCTCTCTCTTATTCGCTCTCTCCCTCTCTGTCTCTCTAAGCATAAATCAATATATACTAAATTAAGTTATACAAGTTATATATTAATAATATTGCATCTGTTGAAACATTCGACGTGCTCAGTTTTTGTCCTCTATGGGCCCAATATGCATTTATCATTTATGAAAGATAATCAAGAATTAAGTCCTTATGGGCCCACATCTGTCTTCCAGTTTGGGAATACTGTGAAGCTGTATGAGTTTAGTTGTCCCTTTTGTTTGCTTTTATTAGTCATTTTATTGCAAACTGATTTTAATATCATTTATATTAGTTAAGATTTAAATGGCTAGCTATCAGCCATGTTAACTGATAGGTCAGTCTCTTAGAGCCAGTGGGATGAAATTATTAGTTTCATTTTCTCGTTCTTTCAACATGAACACTTCGAATATCAGTAGATTATATTTAATAAGTTAACTAAAT